CTACAGGCTGAGAGCAGAACTGCGGAACTTGATAAAAGAGGGAAAACTAAAATATCAGCAGGAAGTCACAGCACCTTAACCAGCATAGTCAGTAGGACGTACGCCGTCATCTCCACCGTCACACCGCTAGATTGGTCGGGCTTCAGCCAGTCAGATGTCACACTGGCCTCCTGCCAGTACCTGAGTACAGCAGGATTACCTGAACAAAAACACAAAAACACTTCCAAGTTTAATTTCCTGAATCTTAAGCCTCTTTTCTACTGACACCTACTCAGCGCGACATTTTTAGGGGTTCTCATAAACTAGTAGTGCCTGGTACTTTTTAGTACCAGGCACTACTCGATCTGAAAATGTCATGTCAGCAGGCTGCATGCCACTGATTGGCCAGGCAGTGATGTCACATATTGAGTCATGAGACCGAGAATACAACCTGAACTGTTTGAAACCCAGCAGAGTGAGAAACCTACTTACTGGACTCCACCCAGACTGAGGTGGTACTCAACTTTAATGCAAAACAACAGAAACCCAGTAGAGTTGAGCTGGTGTTGGAAACGAGGCATTAGTGATGGATGGAGCATGAGCAGTGGAAGGATGTGATACACGTCAGTGACGGTTTTCTGCCTTTCTTCTTACTGATGTATTAATGCCATAAACTTTAAAATCCCAAAATCAATGTAAAGGAAAAGAAGCACACTGACTTTTGAATATTATCAGGGATCCTTTGAGTGGTTTATAACAAATGCATCACACAGTCTAAGAAACAATCAAACAGTAACTCAAAAAACTGCCATTCAGCAAACAGAGAGCCAATCAGAAAGAAGGAAACAAAAAAACCACACACCTTTTTGCCGTGCCAGCTTCTCCAGGCTGCTGATGAGCTGGAAGGATATCATGCTGTTGGGGTCATGAAGGGTCAGCGCATAGGTCGCCACTGCACGTACGTAAACACTCTTCACACTCAGGGCATGCTGGGAAATGTAGGCTACGGCAGAACTAATACTGTCCTCGTGGATCTGAAAGCAGGACGGTTTATGAGCAGCTTCTTCAGTATTCATTTGTTTAGCGCTCAGGTTGGCTGATGTGTTGAGTGATGAGACAAGGAGGTGTGGTCTCACCTGAAGCTGCAGGATCGGGTCTCTAATCT